ATTTAATTTCAAATGCTTTTATTTTCTTTTAGTTGGTTTTATGAATATGAACAATATTTTCTGAAAGCAAAAAATTTTTCGATGAAAAATGAATTTTTAATACAATTATTTGTTATTTCTTTAATTATAATAGATTTTTACATTTAAGTTAAAATATTATGAAATTAGTTAAAAGCCGCATTCAGTTTCGTAAATGTCCTTATGAGATAGATTTTTTTTAGCGCGTTGTAAATTGTATCGTTTTGACTAATCAGAAGACCCGCAGAAATATAATTTTGTGTTTATAATTGGGCTGTAATTATAAAGTACGGAAGACCAACCAAAATACAATTAAGTTGCGTTATTTCAGTTAAGCATTGTTCTCCGCTGTTAAGGCCTTTACTTTTGCGAAACACGTGTGGAGAAGTTAATTTGATTTTTCAATTTCAACTGAGAAGGGTACCTACAAGTATCAGTATCATCTTATGAAATTTATATGATCTTATTTTTATATTAATCTCAGTTATGACATTTTCCATAAATGAAATATCAAAATTAATAATAAAATGAATGGAAATACAAATAACACAGTAAAATGTAATAAATGTACATAAAATTATAGTATTTTATGTACACTTCTGATAAAATTTCATAAGAAAGGTACCTATAAATTAATTAGATACCTTTCTTATGAAATTTAATCTCACTCTCAACAGTCTTATTTTAATTTCTTTATAATATATTTTCCATAAAGCATCGTAAACGTAAAAGTGAAAGCTAAGTACAAAAAGAAATTAGAGCGCTGAAAGTTTTCCTTAAAAATAACAAGGTAAATAATTTGTTCACGTAAATCTAAATAATTTCACTTCTCTCCTTCCGTAGAATAAAATATCCTCACGTAAACTGTCAATACGTCATTCAACATCTGTCAAGTGACGCGAAATATTATGACTTGCTTTGTTTTATTTTCAAACTACAGCTTTTCAGCGCAAAAACTAAATAATGCTTGTTTCAAAATATTTTAAATAAACATTATAATTTTTGATTTTCTTAAAATAAGTTTTGAAAAAATTATAATTGATTTTTAAAAGAATTTCAAACTGAGATTTTCATTCTTTTTTCTATAAAATGGAAAAAAATGGTTGACATGATTATCTGCGAATTTTGCTGACTCAAAAAAAACAAGATTTTTAACGAAAATTTCGGACGTGCTAGGAACGATTAAAAAAATGTAAAAAAAATACCCCAAAATACTTTGATCTTTCCTCTTAATAATAACATAAACACTTAGACGATAAAATTTTGTTTTCGTCAAGTTTGACGTCTTTTTCATCATGCTATTCTCTTTTTTAGCGATCTCATGGGGTACCTAGATTATAGTGATCGGGGAAGCATCCTCTTTACACAAAATAGCGGTTCGCGAGAAGAAACTGTTCGGGTGGAACTTACATTTCACCAATGGAATACGAAGTTAATGAAATTGCGATTGCATCATTGATAACTGCATATTATTTTTCTAATTTTCAGAGGGAGGCGTCCTGTTTATAATATCGATACAGTGTCAAAATCAATCCCCAACTTTTACAAAGTTATTGGACTTTATTTACAAATGCCAAGTGTAATAACGTTATTGGTATCTGCATATTTTTTTTTAAATTTTCTAAACAGCATTTTAAACTTTTATTGAATTAATTGTTACGTCTGTTGCTAGGAAAGTTGGTTCAGTGGAGCGTATTAGACAATTTTTCTTGCTAGGATCCATTTTGCATATTTATAAAATCTGCATTTCGTCCGTGCAGTGAAAATTGCTGCCATATCTGGTCTGTTGCTCTTGGGATTGATATTCTTGACAAAATACAAACAAGGGTCTGCAATATTACCGGTCCTGACCTGGCATCTCGACATCAGCCACTTTCTCTCTAAAGTATTGCTTCCCGTTTCCTTTTCTATAAATATTTTACTGGCAACTGATCCGATGAACTCTCCTCATTGGGGATTTATTTTTTTTAATTTTTGCTTTATTACCCACAACAGACAAGAAATGTATGTATGGAGACTAGTTAGGATTATCGTGGGTTATCAGTTATAGTGAAGTGTATGAGTGTTGAACCAGATTAGTTTGATTTGGCCTTGTTAGTTAGATAGCCCACCATAAGAGGGGTATAAAACAAGAAAATCAAATTGTAAAGTGAAACAACAAATTTATATACATATAAATCAATTATGGTCTCTACAAATAAAATTAATCTATTTTAGTTGATACAAGGTCATCAAAATGTTCGTAGTGGTCCTTGCAAGAATGAGTTTATGTGTACGTAGGCAGGAACGTATGTGTGGATGTATGTATGTATGAGCGTTATCGTGGGGTAGGAATATATTTAAAGTAATCGCTCAGTCTTAAAATATTCCGTTCGTTTATCAAGTATAAAAGAGGTGAGGGAGAAAGGTAGAGATGATGATAACGATCGCTTGACGTTTGTCAAGGGACGTGTTGATACGCTCGTCTCCTTCTCTCTGGTGACAGGAGAACTTGCCCGTCTTTTATTTTGTTTGTGAGGCTTGAAAAGGTCATTTGGGAATTCACTCCCGGATATGATTCGGACCTTTCCATTGGACGACGAACAAACTTCGCGTCGGCTCGCCAAAAGGTCCGTAAAAGAATTTGTTTCTGAGAATTGAAGTTTATTTGAATTTTGTTTTTAAATGTTTCCTAGTTTTCTATTGGCCGAAAAACATTTCGCATCAAGGTGTGAAATTTCACGATTTTATTTTTTGGATTCGCTTTTACGTGTGTGTTAAGCAAAGTTTGTAAATTCGAGTCTTTTTAATTTTTAACAAAAATAACAAGTCAGAGATCAGCATTTGAATTTGAAATCTAGATCTTGTTTTGTTCACTACATGACTTCATGGAGACATTATAGTGGCTGTTGTAAGAATGGTAAGTAAGAATGCGTTGTTTTCGTGTAAGGAATATTGTTGTAGTTTGGATCAGTGATCGTGGCTAGCTGAGTTTAATGTTAAGACAGAAGAAGACCATTTTTTTCCTTTTTCCTCATTTTGGCCTTGTGACACATTTCTGTACATAATGCTGAATAAGTATTGTTTTCCCCTTGTTACCTCGTTCACATGAATTTAAGTGTACTACTAGATATTCAAATAGGTGCCATCGTTTTACTTTTTAAATAGCTAGATAACACCGTAAATTCGATTCTATTCGCACCTCTCGCGTGTGGAACTCTCTTCCGATTTCCAGATTCCCTGCCACTTACGATCTACAAAAATGTAAATGCAACGTCGATCGTCATCTCTTTTCCTGGACCCTGTTCTTCTATTGTCCTTTCTCCTCACTAAAATTTTCTCATTCTCTTTCAGCTCAGGCGTCTTAGTGGCATTATCGCTTTGCTTGTGGGTGAAATGATTTAAAAAAAGGGAGAATAAATAGTTATTCCATAGCAACCTTCCGTAATAAGATGTTAAAATTATTTTAAATGCGTTTTAACGGTATTTAGTAAATTCTCTTTATTAAAAAATCTTTCAAAAACAGAATATATTTTTCTGAAACATTATTTGAGGAATATAAGCTGATTTAAATTTTAAATATTCTGATTTGAAACAAATATCACTTTTAGTTAAAAATTTCGCAGAAATGTATTTTTAACACAGGCGTAGGTGTTTTGATTAGGTGTTGACAGCTCTAGTGACAGATTGACAATTAGAAGTTTATTTAATTTTTCTTTACAGGGGACCTTTTTGACAAAATTACTTGAGAAATATAACGTTAGCACCATTTTTATATATATATTTTAACTACCTAGTAATCTTAAAAATTTAGGAAAATATTTTCCGTAATCTAATGCTTTATTGAATTTTAGGTACTTTGGCTTTAAATTGACTATAGTTACTGCTCTTCTTTTCTGATAATGTCGTGTACGGACGTCCGTATTCACAAAAATCGGCACGTTTATACACACAAAAAATATTCAAACTTCTTTATAAAATATTGGCGTTTGATGAATTCTACTAAGCATTTCATTTATAATTAGTAAATATAGTTTTTACGTAACAATATCGTCTAAACGGTACAAATTAAATATAAAATTTAAAAAGATTTAAAACTATAAACTATTCTAATTAATTTTTTTAAATGTAAATAATTCTTTTAAAAATTCATTATTCAACGATATATTTTTTCTTAAGACAATATAGTTAATAATATATCTTATTTATAGAAGCGATTAAAAGCTTTTTTTCTGATTAAATAATGCCTTAGTTTTATTGCATTTTATATTTTTCGATTGAGAGCAAATTTTTCGTTAATTAGGGGTCCTGTTTTACAAAAAATGAATTGATGATTTAAATTCCTCAAAGAATTCCGTTTTTAACTAATATAAATATTAGCATATAATATATATATATATATATATATATATATATATATATATATATATATAAAAAAATAGTAAGTGGTACAAAAATAAATTTCTCGAAATTTTATAAATGAAATAAGTAAGGATAACATATACAAAAACTGTTTATAAAATAATTTCATTCATTTGTGAATAAGTCCTGATACTTACATTAAAATCTGACATTTTTCTGAATTTTGCAAGGATTTCAAAATCACTGTGTTTTTCAACGTAAAAAGACGCTAAAATTTCCTATACTAATTTATGACCTCTTCGATGATGGAAGAAAAACAAAATTTTTAGCCAAAATTTCAAACTTTCTAGAAAGGGTAAAAAAAATCTGTTAGGCTTTCCTCTTTTTGACGATTTTATTAAGTTTGGGGCAATTTTCCATCATGGTATGCTCATTTTTAACGAATCTTTGGTGGTAAAGCGAATCGAGTCCTCTCAGTCACTGTGTGATATCTAAAAAAATAAATACGCTAAAATTCACCTTCGTCCCCGCCGTGGCAAAATCTCCGACTGACGCCAATTCAATCGGGTTTTGATCCTAGCTAGAGGATGTCTAGCCACACTGAAGAGCTGTGATACAGCGAAACAGTCTCTCTGTGGATGTCAATATATATATAGATAGATAGATAGATAGATAGATAGATAGATAAGTATACTCGTTTCGAAAAACCTTCGAATTTTTGATTTGCCAGTAATCAAATCAATCTTGATGGAAAAAAAAGGTTTTAAAAAAGAAAGAGCTAGAAACATGAAAGTCTGTCAAAAAAATCGCACAGATACAGGTTTAAAGCCCAAAGAAAAAACCCCGACACGAGTAAACAACTAACTAACTAAAAGAGCTCAATGCAACCAGACAAACCTACCCAGGTTTGTCTGGCTCACTAGGTTTATCTATATATATATATATATATATATAATCAATTTACCCCAAGCAAGGTGAAATGCCCCGATGATGCAAGGTGTTACGGGAAGTCAAATAAAATTAGAAGACTTTAGTGGGGGAAAGTGAGGAGAAATAAATAAAACAACAGGTTTCAGGAAGACAGATGGTGATTGGCGTTGCATTTAAATTTTTGAAGATCGTAATTGGCAGGGAAGTAAGAAATCAGAAGAGTGTTCCACCGGTGATAAGTACGAGAAAAGAAACTCTCGGAATAAAATAAAGAAATTGCGTCCTTCGTATACTGCTGCAGGGCGGAATTCTTGAATATGCAGGCCGCTAAAAAAAAAATATCGATTAAAATAAACGGGGCGTCTACTCAAATATGTGTATCCATTAAATGTAACGTTTTAAGTAATATATATGTGTGCGTGCGTGTGTGTGTGTGTAAAATTCCAGCTAAAACTCCAAACATATTTGCAAAAGGACAATATTAATAAAGACAAAAGGGAAATTCTTTTCAAAATAAAATGTCCATCAGAGGAAGAAATGCGTCGGCTAAGATAAGTATTGCTTCTGTTTTTTTTTGGGTTTTTTTATTATTATTATTTTGGAATCCAAAATTCGCTTGAGGATGAAACAGAACTAGATACTTTAATTTAATTTCTAAAATTGAATCGGAAGTTTTTAGCTTCTGTTTTTTGAAACATGGCAATTACTATATAGCGATGGAATCATTTTTTTTTAAATAATTATAACATACATATAATATATATATATATATATATATATATATATATATATATATATATTATAATTATGTATATATATATTATAATTATTTATATATATATATATTATAATTATTTAAATATATAAAAGTGAACATAGAAGTCAACACTTAGAGGCGACAGTCTGTTTTATGCTAGATGCAAGCGTCAGGCCACCAAAACAGACTGTCGCCTCTAAGTGTTGACTTCTATGTTTACTTTTATATTTACACATGCTCTATCTCTGATATTGAGCACTTTATCCCATAAATATAGCACATCTTAAGACTATATTTCTTCATATTATAATATTTATATATATATATATATATATATATATATATATATATCAAGTATAGGTGCAGTTCAATTTATAATTACATGAATCATTCATACAAAAAACTAAAAGAGACCTTATGCAACTGGAATTTATAAACAGGGATTCGAACCTGTATCCTATACGGAACCGCCATTTTAGTTTGACGTGCCTTTAACCGATTTGGCCACAGAGGAGCGTTTGGTTAGCAAGGTCGAATTTACTGTATTTGAACTTCAATCTTCCATGTATCTCTCACGTACATTTATATCTGCTCATGGCGTATCCAAATGTAAACAAATGACGTCACACATTATGAAATGGACAAAGTCCGACAATTATTTTTAAGACATTTTTATGTTTAACATTCTTTTTATAGATACAAATATTTAAGTAAATGCTCTGTTTATAATAAACAGTATTAAACAACATTTACCGGTTTCTTGTAAAAATTATATTTAATAAATAAATTATGAGTATTTTCAAATGGGGAGTTACTTTTCAATCAATCTGTATATCTGTTATATACCGTACGTATGAACACTAATGTCCCAATCCTCATAAATACGTTGGACACTATTGTAAGTGGGGGTAATATGCTGTCTAAGTATTCCACCACTAGAAGTGGTTTACCTACTTGACGCCTCTGTTTTGGTTGTTCCTCATTCAGTAACTTTTTCTATATTACAACATCTATCTATCTATCTAATATTGTTATCTATTGTTATATACCGTACCTATGAACGCTAATGGGTATGTCCCAATCCTCCTAAGTACGTTGGGCACTATTATAAGTGAGGGTAATATACTAAGTAGTCCATCAGTGGAAGTGGTTTACCTACTTCACGGCGCTGGCGAGTATTGTATTTTGCTGATGTTATAAAGATTACCATTTCATTTCTAACCTCCGTTTTCTAACCTCATTCAATAACCTTTCCTACGTTACAACAATATCAAATCGCAAAAAAAAAAAAGTACCTGCTGTTTTCATTTCTTTCGTGGAAACCGCAGTGTGTCTACAGGATATCTTTTAGGAATGGAGAAAAGCACAAAAAACAACAACATTTCTATTATGATGACAAATGTGAAATCTTTCATTTTATTATCGCATCCAAGACAGGTTTGTGTTCCTTAAATGTAAAGAGGATCATCGTCGCCTTCCCGTTCTTCAAGCCACTGAAAATGGCTACCGATCCTCGAGTTTTCCTTGGCTTCCTTGTTCATTTTGACAGTTTTCTTGACCTTTTTGTACAGATCCTTGTCGAAGATGTACTGACCAACAAAATAGTCGTTGTCAGACAGCATATTCAGCTGGCCAATGAAAGAACCCAATCTTTTCATTGTCTGAACCTGCTCGTCTAAATACTCATGTTCGATGTAATGGCTAAGCTGAAAAAAAAAAAAGAAGAAAAATTATTATTATTATTATTATTACTATTACTTTTATTTCCTTTGATTTCTGGCGTTTACACATTTCTTTCCGGGTCCCGCCCAGAGACCTAAGGTTAGAAATGGCATCTTGACACTTTCCACTGACAAAATAAAAATTACATAGTTAAAGCCCTTCGTAAAATGTGGGCTGTAATTGTCAGAACAATTTTTGTATCTCTTTGAGGCATGGACTTCCAGGAATCCCTTCAATTAGTCTATTGGAACCTTTTCTAACCAATCCTAGGGCTCCAACTACAACAAGGATTGTTGATGTTCCCATGTGCCACATTTTTGAGATTTCTATTTCAAGGTCCTTGTATTTTGACAGCTTTTTGAATATCTTCAAAGATACATTGCAGTCAGCAGGGACTGCCAAATCAATAAGGTGGCACTTTTTTTGTTTGTGGTCTCTAAGAACAATGTCTGGGCGATTGGCTTTGATTGTTCTGTCAGTGTGTATTGTGTAGTCCCATAGAATTGTAGGAGGTCCTATTTCCGTGACCGGGAATGGGTGGTGTTCATACCATTTTCTTTCACTTTCCTTCCCGTAGAAGTTGCATATTTTCCATTGCAGATATTGGCCCACTCTGTCATGCCGGGTTTTATACTCAGTGGGTGCCAATATTGTCCAACCTGATACAAGATGATCAATCGTTTCTGGATATTTATCACAGAATCTGCATTTTGGGCTAACACAATATTTTAGTATATGTGCTCGATAATTCCTAGTTAACAACCATTATTATTATTATTATTATTATTATTATTTCATTCTGGATCACAACCAAAGACTAAAAGTCAGAAATAGCATCGTGACATTTTTTTCACTGAACATTTTGTAAAAAAAAACTTAAAAATAAAACAATCTAAAAGGTACACACATTTTACATAGATAAAGCCCCTCGCAAAGTGTGGGCTGTAATTATTAGAACAATATTTTGCATTTCTTTAAGGCATGGCTACCAGTGATCGCTTCAGTGAGTCTATCAGCGCATTCTATATGATAAATGCGAATGACAGTGCGTCATTGTGTCACACTTTTTCAATTAAAGGGACACAACTCTCTAATATCTGTCCATATCTCTGAGATGAGGTATTATGATTACTTGCATTATTTACATTATTCGGACTCTTATCCTCATCTTCATTGCCATGTTCAAAACATTTCGGCTCCCAAATAACACGGGCTTACGTCCACATGACCTTGAAACAATTGTTTCCGTACGATAACCAAAGTTAAGCAACATCCAGCCTGGTTAGTACTTAGATGGGTGATCGTTAGCTTGGATGTGCTGGTGGTGTAATGGAAAATGGCTCTGAATTGTTAATCAGAGAACCGAGTTTCAATTCCCGCATGGTTCGTTATATTCACTTACAGACAAATACCCTTTGGAAATGTATGAATCCACATCTTCTCCCTCAGTTATGGGTTAATTAGTATTACTTGTATCGCTAAACCATTATTATCCCCACGCACACGAAAAAAGAATTCTTACTATCTAAAATATTTTCTGACTTTAAATAACCTACAAAGGTTTGATAAGCCGTAAAAACAAATCAATGAGCCAAATCAGACGGAAGTTAAAGGAAACTGAACTCACTTGCTTTGATATAAATCTTCTGCGTTAAATGTGGGCGTGATTTCAACCAGTGTCGCTTACCTAATAACGCAAACAATTTTAGCCTGAATTCTCCGCTCACGGTCATTAAGGACTCGTGGTCGGAGAGTGGGTAGTAATGCCTTCCATAAGATATTCCCAGTACCCACGGGACAACCTAGATCATAAGATGACAAACGATCCACATAGATTCAAAAATGGAATGTCCTCTCTGTCTGACACCCATTTCGAAAACTATTAATCTACGTCGAACCAGTGTTCACTCATTAGATATCAGAGCAGCACTCATGTAAGTCTAGGCATTTTCATGCCCTATCAAGGTATGGTGGCGCCACCAACTGTTACCTTTACATACTGCTCTCCCATGACTTTTGTCACATCAGTATCGAACCAACTAAAAGATAAAAGAACAAACACTCACCTGACTGTCATTTTTACTGGACATCACGATATACGTTAAGGATTCCATTACAACTTTCTCGATGCTAAGAGCATCTCTCAAAGCCCATAATCCAATTTTCTGAAAATTGTATAGTTAAATGTTATTCAACAGAATATATTCAAAAAATACAGCGAGAAGAGGAAAG